TATAATATAACACACTACACACACACACACACATATATATATATATATATATATATATGTATATATATAGTATAAAAATACATAGAACAAAAAGACATATATATATATATATATATATATATATAAAGTACATTTAAGGTATACGAAAATAATTATACATACATACAGATGCGTACAAAATTCTATTCCATGCTCATATATATATATAGACGTAAGTGGATGTGTACCAAGATTCTATGTGTATATTATACAACGTGCACCACTGTATATACCTATAACTATATATAAGCATATATAGATACGTAAAACAAAACATGGAAACGTGGATGAAAATATCCTGAAGGCGATACCCTAAAGTTCAGGTACGAATGTAGCAACTCGTTAATACACGCGCACATATGATATACACTCATTCCTTTTATTCCGTTGTACGCATTAGTGCATGTTGTATCTTAATAATCGTTAATACACGCGCACATATAATATACAATCATTCCTTTTATTTCGTTGTATGCATTAGTGTATTTTGTATCTTAATAAACGTTAATACACGCGCACATATGATATACAACCATTCCTTTTATTTCGTTTTACGCATTAGTGCATGTTGTATCTCAATAAACGATAATACACGCGCACATATGATATACAATCATTCCTTTTATTTCGTTGTATGCATTAGTGCATGCCCTAAAGCCAATCACGTCAACTGTACGCCATCAGGACCTCGCAATCAGAGCCACACCATTAAACTGTGCACACAAAGCGCAATACAAGTACGCTCTACGATCCCAATCAGTGCCACACCATTGAACTGTGCACACATCCACTCCACTTTACACGGCCTACCATTTCACACATGTCGTACGCCAGCACACCCGATCGCACAGAGTGGGGGCCAGTATCCAGTATCAGCGGACTCTTGATCGCATCCCCGTCCACGTGATGTACTTTGGATGTGTGCACCCACCCACCCACACGCGCAGACCTCTCCAGCACAACTACCTGGACGTGTGGTGCTGCGCGTGCTAAGTGGTAGGCTGCACTCAGTCCACTGAGACCACCCCCCACCACAGCCACGCGCGACAGACGCGCTGGGGACGCCATTGCAGGTGATGGAGTTGTGCAATCGATGCCAATGTACTGTCTATGTATTGCTAAGCAGCTGATGTAGTAGTGACGGTGGTCTGATGCAAAGTACTTCGGTGCATGCGTGTACACTGGAGGATAGGTGTAGCTTGATGATCTTAGCGCTGTCTATTCTTGCTGTACGTACATTATATGTAAACTATAGACGACAGAACATGTACAGATAGGTGAACTATTTTAGAAAGTATGTGTATACGTGCATTATATATGTACTATAGAGGACGGTAAAAGTATCTAAATGCAAACACACACATGTAAACTAGAGAAGACAGCAAATATATACACCCAATATTAAATGTAGAAGCGTGTAATCATAAATACACAGATATGGAGGCGATAGCTCAGAGTCTCAGAGGTCATGTGAGGGCAAATAAACAAGTCACAAGTCCCAACTCAACTCACAAGCCCACTAGCCCAAAGTCATCACAAGAGACAAAGAGATGTTCATGGTATACTTATATTAACCCTAAAACCCTAAAACCCTAAAACCATTGGCGCTTGCCGGTTAGGTTTTTAACAAACCCAACCGCTCTTGATGTGCTTGGCCGTCTAAGTCTTTCTCTCTCTATAGTGCTATGTGATATGTGTGGTTCTGTCCACCCTCTGTGGGTCTGTGCATGACATTCTAAATGAAACAGTCGGTGCAGGGCTTACTGTCCTTTTAAATAACACATTTAGTATGCCCTGGGTCGCCTGGGGTCAGTGTTTCAACGACTGTGGTTGAAAGTTAAGATTTCAGGGTCTATTCGCCTATACATTAACCTTTCGTCTACAAACCCTATTTGCCTAACATACAATGAGAACATGAATACTTATGTCCACATAAAGCTATATACACTCAAGGGACGCGTATCTTTTTTCTCATATATAATCTATCTATTGACTCGTACGCAAGGAATATTGTGATGTTATTATTTAAGACGGTATTCGCATACGGTTCATATTGTTGATAAGTATTTGGACAACTCATTGATAAGCAATGCCTTCGTACTACGCATGTACATTTGTCGGAATCCTGAGAAGTATGCAATTGAGTCTCTTTCTCTCTAGAAAGACCTGACGAGAGTGAGAGGTTCAGTTGTATTCCTCTCCACTTTGTATATTCATAAATATACATGTGTGATAATTAAATAGATACGTACACTCGTTGAGCATCGTTTCATGGAGCGCTTCTGTTGCGGGAACCCCTCTATCATCAGACATAAGAGGCATAAACAGCCTCTGAAATGATAAATAACACCAAGGATATGTAAAAACCCTGCACGCTAAATATGGCAAAACCCCAAATCTTACCGACAAACCCTACACTGCAAATATAGTTGTTTCAGAATCAATATTTATTTTTAAAATAAGAACAAATAATAAAGAACAGCTCACATATTCTCTGGGGAGTAACAAGTACTACTACATACTTCTTGAACGCTGTAGTGTACTTCATATAACAACAGTAGCGTACAGACAGATACAGTGCCCAGGTGGCGTCTCTCTCTAAGCAGACCGTACTGGCACATGCATGCTATTCAAAAACATATAGCAATCACGAGTGAACTTGTATAATATAGTTGTTTGTGCCACACAACATGGCATGATAACATTGCGTAGCCTAACGTACTAAAAAGTAGTCGCCATGTCAAAGAAAGAGACCGCCCGGTTAGCGGTGCCGGGATTCATGAACAACCTATGGCGAAGTACGTTAATTCCGATTCATTGTTAGTGTATACATAATGTATTTTTAAGTCTGTATATGAGTTGCATGAGTACGCAAACATATACAATTACAGCTTAGGCCAGTAACACACACACACACACACACACACACACACACACACACACACACACACACACA